AGCATTCATTAAGTTTAGATACTGAAACGTTTAAATATTAATAATATGTTTTGTAGTAACTTTTGGGGAGAAAAAAAACTGAGATGATCTTGTTTATAAGTAGATAGGGTAGAATACTAGAAGTGAAGTATCTCGCCTATCACATTAACATTCATGACTGTCCTCTTTGATCTACAGACGTCTCAATAGAGACTTGATTCCCACTCTAACATCAAACGTGCCAGTCTTTGTCAATGCGGCCATGTTTGTGTAATTTTAATAAAAAGAAGCTAAGCCAAGATAAATGAATGTAATAACTTGTATCCCATTCTAGGGTGAAAAGGCAGAGAGAAGGTAGATAGTTTAGAACATGTAAACATACATCAAGTCGAGCATGGTACAATTGAAACCAAGCCCAACCCCGTATTCAATTACATTAAAAGCGAACAAGGAATCCTGCTCGCGCGACAATACGATCAAGGGAGATTACTCTGTCCTATCACTCTTGGTGTCTCGCGATAATCACTTAATCCTCACATGCCTGAAAGATGAATGCGGGCGCTTTTCACCTAGTATTTAATTCATCTGATGTAAACTCCACTAAGACTGGAAACTATGCGATGTGTGATTCATTATTCCAGTTAGGTTAATCCTTTACGACAATTAAAAGGTTGAAGCGTCTGGTTGTGTGACGACCACGCACAAAGTGGTGACGTCCCCTTGTTCTAGGGTTTTAATTGATTTACAGGGAACATTGAGTGCGAATCTACAGCCAACCCAGTGAATAAGTGCGATGCATTTAAGAGAGTTTTTAAGCTTATATTTATATGCTTTCGTTTCTAGAAAAAAATAATCTCTTATAATTAAACTAAGAAAGAAAAAGGTTCTCGGATCAGTTGGAAATGGCTCTTGACGTAATTACAATAAGATATAGTTAACCGAGTCCGCGTCGTTGACGACGACGGCGACAATCAAAATGACAATGTTTATTATAGATTTAAGAAACAATGGCCATGTAAAAAGATAGATACAGTGGTACAAATAGTTGCAATTAATTTGAAAATTAAGTGGTAAATAATTCGCTACTGTACAAGACCTCACAAATTGATGGGCGTAATTGTTCTTCATTGATATGGCTAAATACCACAAAACCGATCTTAACCAACCTAGGATAAAGCGTTTTTGGTGTGTTTTTATTAACTAAAGGAGATACATAAACAATAAGGACCGGGTCATGGTAAAATGGATTCCTCTTAATTATATCAACATCTGAGCACAGGAAAAGCAAATTAAACTAACAATTATTAATAAAGGGATTATGTATACTTGTACTTGAATTTTAACTGTAATAAATATAAAAAGTTTCTTTGAATGGTGTACTAACTGTAACGAATGTTCTTAATTAAAATTTTAAGACCAATAAAGGGGTTATTTTGGTCTCTTTTAACCTGTAAGATGTCCGACAAACATTTCTATTTAAATTTTCAAACACAGCAACGACAAAAGACACATATAGACACATAAAATATAGAGTGCACAATCTTTGGTAAATGTGTCATTACTTAAAATATAACTGGAGATCATAATTAAAATTTCAAACACAAAAATTACGTATGAAAATAATTATCATACTGTATATAGGTAAAGAAAATATTGATTCATACACAATCTTCGGTAAATATGTCATTACTTAAAATAACACTGGAGATCATTGAATATTGTTTCCGTTATACTAATATAATAAAGATTCAATTAGATTGTTTAAGCGACTATAAAGTTGTGCACCTGAATGTACTATATCCACCGGATATTTGAATCATTACTGTTAGTTAATCAAAGAGCACTCAAACTAAGTCAATGGAAATAGACCTATATATTTTATTTTCTCGGATTCTATAATCGTGCACAGCTATATTTTATACGTTATTTAAATGGCATTTGGGAATCGTCGAGCATAAATTCAATAAAAATAAATATATGGAATACCAAGGTCAGTTAATTTGGGTGTCGGTCGGGAGCTCATCGGCACCGATTGTAAAAAACGATTGACATTAATTTTTTCAAAATAAATAAAATTCATCTATGGATAACCTGAAAGATATAATGGCCTACTCCGGAGAGAAAAATAATCTGTGCGAGGGGTGCGGGACAAGGTAACCAAGTGAGATTCATTTCATGTATATTCTGCGCCGCGATTTGAGACCAAGGAAACCAGTTGGTCCTAGAGCTCAGAGCTACCCAGTCCATCCCTGATTACAGCGCCGCGATTTGAGACCAGAGCTACCCAGTCCATCCCTGATTACAGCGCCGCGATTTGAGACCAGAGCTATCCCTGATTACAGCGCAGTTTCAACTAGGCTTCTTTGAAGACTAGTTGAAATGTCGCTGTTACAAAAGCTATAAGTAATTGTTATTCCATATAGTTATTTAGATGGTTATACTAATGAGATGTTAAACGGGTAAATATAATACATATATATATTATGTTATAAAACGTGCAGTTTGGTCAAAATCATGCTCCTTTCTTCGAAACATGTATTTCAAAGCATTTTAGAATATCTCCTCAAGATCTACCTGAATGAACTTTGCTGTAGATAGAAAGTAATAGAGATATCATTTGATACAAAAATATTATGACACCACAGTACATCGTGCTGGTTACAGTGATTGTTCTACCTCGCTCCTCCGGGGATGGGAACATCTAGTTGTCTAACGCGTGCGTTTTAGATCACAAGGTCTGTCATTGAGTCAAGTGGCGTTGTTTCGATCCTGAGCTAGTATGTGACAAGTTGTAAGGTCGCCTGCCTAACCTCATTGGTTTTCTCTCGGTCACTCGGTTTCCACTCACTGCTAATTCAAAAACCCTTGTACCCACAAGCGAATAAATGATATAGCAATTGGTACCATATGTTGGTCCCGAAATGACATAGTTTGTTTCAAGTGGACGTTAAACCTTATTTCTCTCTATTTCTATCGCTACCCCTCCCCCCTCCCCAAGCCCAAATAAATCCACCAACCCTCTCTCTTAACCCTTTTTGTTTGATAAAAGATTACCCCATTCCCGTAATTTAGCCTACTGTTGAGAGGGTACACAATGGAAAATATCTAGTTGAATCTATGGTTCGTGTCAACACTATAATCAGGTGCATTGTTTTAAGCACATATATGTAATCATATAATGACTTGATATCATTATCAATCGCGTACGGTGAACTAAAATTACATGGCGGAATAAATGTGAATCAGAAATTGCTCAAAGTGCGAATCGACTCATCCATGTTTGCTTTATGGCATTAATGCGACTTCTGGTTAATTGCAATGCTTACAAGTATAATCTATGATTATGATTTAATCTAGTCTTTTATTGACGAACAGGGCATTTCTAGAAAATGATATATCACAAATCGTTTTTGCTTTTTCAGACACTGCCCCGGAACTACATTTTGAAATGTAAGTCCAATTAAACCATCGCTCTGTTTAGTAATACGTAATGACATGTGTAGTCCAAGAGATAGTCTGTGCTTACCCTATCTACAAAAATATGATACACCGTCTTGTTTATATGCGATGTCCGTGTTAATCATCATTTTGTGTATTTGAACAATTATAAGAAACAAGATTTTAACGTTTTATGAGTTCTAAATTAGTACTGATTACAGATGCTTTTAGCACTAATCTTTCAATATTTAGTCTGGGAGCTGTAACATTATTTTTATCTCTAATTTTACTGAAGTTTTAATTGCTTATTCAAATATGCAATTCAGTATATAGAATAAATATCTTCGTTTCGATATGTTCGGATGCCGGTCACAGGTAGAATTTACGACACACAATGAAATCATGTGCTAAGCACCTGCTTCAATTTACCTGTTTTTCTGCAATATTATATATACTGTGAAATATACTATAATCAACATAATATATTAAATAAACCAGGTATTTTTTGATACTCTGAAGTTATACTACTTTAGTCAAACGCATAAAAATAATTATTTGGCCAATCTGTATTGTTGTCTTTCTGATAGTATACAAATATAGTAGTTTATAGAAACAACATAATTAGGATTTATATCATAATAAATGAATGAATGAAATTGGGTTTAAATTCCTACTTTAGCATATAATATCAAAATAATGAAAAACAAATAAATTCTAAGTGAAAAAACTGTCAAAATATAAATGAAAAACTCTTACTTCTGTAAAATAACACAATTTACCAGATTGTTTTTGACTGATTATTATGTTTCCTTTCCCTTTTCTTAATTGGGATCTTTTCTCTTTTTGAAAAATTAAATAATGAAAACTACTGGTCATATTATTGTTATTTCACTGCTGATAAACAGTTGAATTGCTAGACTATTAACAGTCGAGAATATTATATTGTGAGATCAGGGATTAAAACATTTTAGATAATGTATATAATGAAACCTTTAGTTAAAGTGGCTCCATTTGCAAACGATGAACTGATTAATGCGCAGATAATTAACATTTGGCTTTAATGATAATGATTACATTGATCAATTAATATTTACTTTATCGTCATGCACATTATTAAATATCTCAATTTTTTTAATAATGATAAATTTCATAAATGTCTTTGTCAATATTACATCGGTATCCATTCCAGTTTATATAATGTGCATATAATTTGAAGTGGGTATCGTTGAATTTATAGTGTCCATGCAATATACATTCTAAACAAATTAACTATACTGAGACAACTACAATCAGTTGTAAAGACTGTTGTAAGCCACTGTCGTCTATAGGGTTATATATTTGACTACCGTTATTCAGTTAATCAATTTGCTAATTATTAATTAACTGAAACTATATAAACAAATCGGTATTAATATAAAACACAACAAATCGGTACTGTATAAACAAAATGAAAGGCAATAGCAAAGACATTATGCATTGTATTACTGGCATGCTTAAATGATACAAATAAATGTTTAAAAAAAACAGAATTAAACTATAAGAAATCTTCGAACAGCATAACATTTAAAAATAAACAAACATACCTGTCTGAAATGGACGCTCCATAGAATGTTCGGACAAATCCATATTCGTTCACTTGACCTTTTTCTTCCGTGTTTCTGTTCACACTTAGCAGCATAAAATCATAGAATTAAAATTGCTGATGTTTATAACAAGCTCGCGACGTTTATACCACGTGCTTGACTTCTTCCACTAATCTCGCGCTGGCTGATCGCACATCAAAATAAAGGTGGGAATTAATCTCTGGATGTTAGAGACTATAGTATAAAGACATCATCAATAGAGCGCAACCATTGTTTAACGCGAGGGGGGATGATTCCAAGTTGAAAGATAAAGTGACAAAAAAACATTATTAGATTTCTCTTGTATTTTACCCTGCACTTCAAAGATTGTAATAATGTTAGTTTATAAGAGAAATCATATGTTTACACTTTATAAATATTTAATTGTCCGGTTTCCTTTAAACCTTTACAAGAGCGTGGTGAGCCGTGTGGCATGAATATATGTGTATATTTATTTTAGATGAATATGTAAATAGCTCGGGAAAAGACTAATCTAAAAGTTAAACTTGTGATATTCTCGCTCCGTTTACATTTCTCCTGAATATATAACACAAACTAAACAGTATTATTATTATTCTTCCTTTACTTTTTAACATTTGAAACTTTTCATTCAATAATTTTTGTTTGAACTTTTGAATTACTAGTTTTTGATATTTCATTTATAAAAGAAAGTTAGGCTTTTAGATGATTTAATTCCCTCATCAGCCTTTTTCCTTATTATAAATGATGTCAATATCCCTACTCTCTAAGGAAAGATTATTTGGATTAAATCGTTTTCATTTTCGCACCATGGAGGCAATTTCAAGACACTCAGTATTGTTTAACGCCCGCTTCGACCCATTGCGACGTCAGTTACACATTTTCTACTTATTTAGAAATATTAGAAAAGGGTTGCAATAATTGGTCCGGATCACTTAAACCACTCTTGACCAAGACTAGCCCAAAACTATTTTGTTTCAATATGGTAAAGATTTTAACTGAAAGTTTATAAACGAGAAATACTAATTCTGCCATGTCATTCGGTTTATGTACAGCCCCTGCCCCCTGCCCTCGCCCACATACCTTGCCCTTTCAACTATAATAGTTGAGAGATGTAAATTATAAAATACTTAAAATGATTATAATACAATGTGTACACTTTAAATTGATTCAATCAGTCACAATACGACGGTAGATATGTATATCAGAATCCATATTGTTATATTTTCCCCTTATTAATCAGCAGTATTTCTAGTTTTAAGCGGGTGCTTGTTTCAGATTCTTTTAGTAATGTTATTGTTTTAAAAAATAAAATGCTGGCGTTGATTTGTCATAATTTCAAATTATAGTATACGCTTAAGTTTTAATGCATAATTTTCTCTCTTTTATTGTTTGGAGGTGGTGTGGTGATGTGGGGTGGGATACGGGTAGGGAGGGGATGGGGTGGGATACGGGTAGGGAGGTGGGAGCAAAATTGTATCCAAATGAGTTTAGGTTATTTAGTCACATCTCGTAAGCCCTTCTACGCGAAATTTGCTCAATAGAAACTAAGGGTTTACTCATATTTAAAAGTATCTAAGTAAGTCCTTACTTAAGCCTTAAAAAGTTTGGCGATCTCGGATGCCAGGCTTTTGTTATTTGAGATATACATTGAGTAGCAAAATAGGAAAATGTTATTACATCATAAGCTACAAACTTTATTATTTTCGCCACCGTAATATTGAACTTATGTTTAAAAGTCTCTGTGGTTAATACGACCAAACCAACGAAGACAATAGAACAGTGACAAAAATCAAAATTTATTCAAGTTTAGCTTGTCATATATAAATAGATAAGTAAATGTCATATACTTATGATTGGTCTATTTATAATTGAAATGAAACATTGATAAGACAGGTGTCCGGAATACACAAACGTAAATAAAAAAGTACATAATAATAATAACAAATCATTGAAAATATAATAATATAACTAAATTTTACTTATATAGATATATAAATAATATGACAATATTGTAATATACAAAATAGCCGTTAATACATTAGAAATCAATATGCATCACTCATCATCCCCTAGTTTCAATATAGACTCTTCTGATATTTAGTGGGCGCGTGTTGTTATTCATCTATGTTATACTAACGTGATTGGTTGCTTTTTGAATGATAGGTTATATTTTCACCAAAGAGGGGCGTTATACAACAGCCACGCGCTAACGTTTTCTTATGACAAATGCAATTTCGATAATAAAAAGGGGAGACGGAAAAGATAACACCTTTAGGTGAATATTCAACAATAGAAAATAACTAATTAATCAGATTTGTATTATCCATTGGATTAGTATTCATGGTGTTTTATGTAGTATTAATCCTATCGGCGATTTTCAAACGCACAAACAAATTGGCCTTAAAAGAAAACAAGAAAAAATAATAAAATAGAAGTAAATATTGTTTAAATCCAAATCCGTACAATCCTACATAAAATGATGTGTTAAAGGGACAATAACATTCTTGCTGGCTTGACAGCTCAAGAAAATAAAAAAATAGCCTTATTCTAAGTACTAGATGTGTTAGTGTCCTACCTGTTGTGTAAATTATCCATTAAATACTATTTTACTTGTCCAGGGGGTTCAAAAATATTTTTAAATCCAAGTAACATTTGAAAAGCTTTACGTCAGGCTTTTCAAATCATTTAGTTGAATTTTTCCAATTTTTTAAATTAGGTGTGTTAAGATGAAATTTGTATCATCAATTAATTGGAATATTGTATAATAGTACAATTTGTTGACCAGAATAAAGATTGGGACATATTATTCAGTTTCAACAAGAGTGGTATTGAGCCTTTAATTAACCGCTAATACAATGTTTATATAAATGGTAAACTATACAAATCACAGTTTTTAAAGTTTTATAAGTATATTTAACAAATTTTTTTCATAAATAACTTTGAAATTTACATTTCTGTTATTAATATTTTTGACGTTTATTTATTTCAGTTTAATTTTAAAATATCCTATATATTTCAAACATAATGAATTAAAAGGTTTATAAATTCAAATGCATGGTTGCCTTGTTTTAAGTTTTTTTTACATGTTAAGAGCAATGCATTAAAGAAATGAGAACTCAAGAAGTTCCATACCATGTCATGTGTTGATTACCCTTTTCGTGTACTAGTTTTATTTATTGATGTACGTATGCTTATTCCTTTATTTATTTATTGTTATTATTTGTTTGTTTATCTTATGTTTAGATGGGTGGTACGGGTGGGGTTTGTTTCTTACGCTCCGATTCGTTAAGTTTTTGTTTGTCTCACCGAGAAATTTCTTCTTTTTTTTTGGTTTGTTTTGTTTTGTTGGATTTTGTTTTTGTTTTTGTTTTGTTTTGTTGGATTTTGTTTTTGTTTTGTTTTGTTTTGTTTTATTTTGTTTCGTTTTTTAATTGGCTTCCACCATGTTCTATCATTATTTTTTTTTACAGTTTAAAGCGTGTGCTTGCTCGTTTTAGATTCGAACACCCCCACAAAGACTACTCCACATTACGCAGGTCATTGACCATTAACTAGTCCACAAACAATAAATTGTTAACTTGTTTTTCGCGAGATTTTTTCTGATTATTTTATTTTAGGTCTAGATTATATTATACAATAATGTTATAGAAAAAGAAATCCGATAACCCGATTTCTATCTTCGCTTTTAAGCCTTTATTTCATTTGGTACATTTAAAGTGATTTCTTCTCTAAATTAATTTTCGATTTTTAATCAAGAAATGGGATTCCCTTTTTTTCATCTTGTTCAGATTGAAATAGACAGATATTCTGAAACGAAGAGTAAAAATTGATTTTGGGGTCCTTATCTAATTATAACTCGCGCGTGAATAAAGCAAATAATCCCTCATTTATTGGCATTAAGCCCCATTTTACATGCATTATTTAATCAAACGGCTCAACGCAAATTATAGATCGTTAAAGAAAGGGACCGCTATACGTTCTGTATTCGCTAGAAGCTAACAAAACGAAACGAAAGAACCAAATTAATCTGACAATGACAAAAACTGTATGATCGTCGTCAAAGTCCCGAAGGCGCGAGACTTTGTCAATTAATAGGATAGCACGTGCCACGAGCTAGCGGTTGATTGTCGGTAAAAGCTTGTGACAAGTGCGGGAAATGAACAACTCTAAAATCAAATTGTATTCGGATGTGGGGTGGGCGATAGATCGTGTGTTTTTGTCGGCGTAGGTTAATTTCTCCACTTTTGAACAAATAAGCATCCCCGTCGCCTATCATCCACAAATACACGGATAAACAATAACATGTATATAAATAAAAAAAGAGGTATGAATGAATAAATTACAGTTTATATCAAGTCATAAAAAAATTTATTTAACCCTTCCATGACCAAATCCTGCTAAGACCATTAATAATTGCATGTACCATATTTAATTATATATTTATAACTTTCAAAATAGGTTTAGATCATCTATACAGACTTGATACAGACTTGAAATTCTTTTCTCGTTAGTACCTTGTTAAACAAAAAAGATATATTTAAATATTTTAAAATATGTTTAAATTACCCACAAAGACTTGTCGTGACATTCTATTAGTAATTTTCAAAAATAAGTTATAATTAAAACTTTTAAATTAAGTTTAGATTAGCAATAAAGACTTGAAATTCTTTCTTTTTAGTAGTTAACAAAAAGCTATATTTTAAAATATTAAAAATAGGTTTAGATCATCTAAAAAAACTAATTAGCAATTAACAAAATAAATCTATATTTAAAACGTTTAAAATATGTTTAGATTATCCACATAGACTTGAAATATCTTTCTCATCGGTAGTTAGCATAAATATGATATTTTTAAAACTTTTAAAATAGGTTTAGGTTTTCTACACAGACTTGAATTTCAATTTCATTAGTAATTTCTTCCAAAAAAGGCTACATTTAAAGATGGGTTCCCAGAAAAGTATTTATCGGGTGGTTATTTCCAATAAAAGTATGGTAATTTTGGTATATATGGAAAGTAGAGATATCCAATCTTACTAGAAAAATACTGGATTCCCCGAAAAACACTCATGGAGCGTATACAGGACAAAAATGTAAGGGTTCCCCTAATCAACAGCACGCGTGATGTCAAAGGTCACACGCG